AAAAAGACTCTTAAGATTAGTGTTATTGAAATTTGTTTTCCTTATTATAATTGTTGAATAATTTCTTCAGGTTTCTTCAGTCCTGAGACAACCCTCTCCCTGAATCTTTTAAGTCTCATTGTATCTCAGTGAATTAAACATGCTTATTTAAATAAATAAGTAAAAGCAGGCTTTTTTCCTCCAGACATGTTGAAAAACTTTAGCTTTACACCTCTGTTTTATCTCACATAAGATCCATCTTATTCTCAAATTTTTGCACTTTGAAAACTACCAGTGAAGTTTTCTCTATATTTCCTAAAGCTGCCTGTCTTTCCAAAGTGAAAAGTTCAGCTCAAGGGCTCGGGGTGAAGCTCAGCACCAGAGCACATGGCTTAGTGTGTGTGAGGCTCCCGGTTAGGTCAGCACTAGAAACAGGTTTCAAAACTTTGACTTTGTGGCTTATGGCTTTGGGGAGGCTGCGCTGTGGCCACTCCCCATTATACCTTATGTTACCTCTCAGGAACAAAATGCTCCATCTGAGTTGGGAGGGTGCTCCTAAGCCACCGTGCATTTATAGGGCCCACAGATGCACCCACTGCGTGTCTGGCACTGTCTCGTGCCCACATACAGGAGTCTAAAGGAGAACTACAGGCTGGACTTGTAGCTCCAGGAGAGTGCCTGCCTAGTGTCCCGGAGGCCCAGGGTCCTTCCCCAGCTCTGACAAGTGTAGTAATAAATAGAATTCTAGAAGTTTTCTTGGTCAAACAATGTGTGCAATTTTGATGACACTGAAAAGGGTATTATACTGTGTGTGTGTGTGTGTGTGTGTGTGTGTGTGTGTGTTATACTGTGGTTCCACATCACCGCTTACTGAATGACTTATATACAATGCGTGGATTTCCTAAGTAACAGAAAGATGATATTATTAATTTAAAAAGCATCCCTTTTGTGTTGGCATTGAAGAAACAATGCACTTATTAATCAATTGGTTTTTTTCTAATTTTGATAATATAAGATCAGTCAATGTATACTAATTTCTAATTAGTATTTCATTTTCTTTATATTCATTGAATGAGTTCTTTAAATTGTAGCATTATTGTTTTTATTTTTCAGTAAGGGTCTACGAGATCTACAGGGTCTCACTACAAACACACAGATCAGACTCGGAGTGTGTTCAGCCTCCCAAAGAGCTGGGATTACAGGCGTGCACCACCACGCCCAGTCTCAATCACCGTCTCTTGGATCGAACCCCTGGCCCCTGCATCTGCCTAAGCAGGTGCTTTAATCTGCTGAGCTATTTGGCCAGCCCTTAAATTGTTGTATTACTAACCTTAGTTACAGTTTGATTAGCTTTGTTTATTTTTCAGATTTTATATGGGGTTTTCGAAGTACACAAATGCTTTTTAACACTATCACTTTTGATATTTCTCCCATGATATTGAACTGTAAATGACAGTCAAGTTACTGGATTGCTGCAAAAAATGAATTAGACTTTCAGTTGAGATAACACTGCATATATAGATCAATTTGGGGAAAATCACTTCCATAGTCAATGTTAAGTTGTCCACACTGGCATAGACCACCATTAATTATAAATTCTGTCATTGTCATTTCTAATATTCTGTGGATTTCAGCATCCAACTCTTAAATATTTTAATAAACATATTCATTTAGAATTGTTTAAAAATTGATATAATTTTTAATATTCATAATATTTTAATTTAAATTTTCATTTTCTAATCATCTGTGGTCATTGCAAAAAAGCAATTAGCTATTGATATTGATCTTGTGTCTTTTACAAACTTGGTAGGATTTACTTACTAGTTCCAGTAGCACTTTTGTCAGTTTCCTTATGCTTTCTGCATAGGTGTTTCAGTTACTTTTCTTATTGCTGAGACAAAATGATGACACCCACACGTTCAAGGAGGAAAGGTTTGCTTTGGCCCATAGTTCTCAGAGCTTCTAGTCCAGAGTCAGCTGGCTGCAAGGCGGGGTGGCAGACAAAGGGGCATCGCAGAGGAGAAGGAGTGCAGCGCAGGGCAGGCCGGAGGCCGGGAGCAGCCAGCCCTCTGGGCTTCGACCCGTCCTGGATGCAAGTCTGCAGAGGGCGCCACCATCCGGGAGGCGTCTTCCCTCTTCCAGCCCCCCCCCCCCCCCCAGCTACGCTAAGCGGATTGGTAGATGTGCTGGCAGGTTAGCTCACGAGGTCACACACCCGGACCCAGCCGCCTCCGCGAGCCCCACCCGAGTGCCAGAGGCTTTGGGCACACCTCCAGACGCGAGCCGTGAGGATTGGCTTTCTTTAAATATGGACAGCCTTACGTCTTTCTTAAAAGATATGCTTTATTCTTGTGTTTTAGTGAGAAGAATAAGTGTTCTGGTGTGTTTCTGAAATAAAAGTAATAAAAGTATGCATTCGTGACTTTCTCCTACTCTCAAGGAGAAGCCGCTGAGAACTTTAGCCTTAGGGAAGGTGTCTCTCTGCATCCACTCACTCAGGTTAAAGAAGGGTTATTTCAGCCTGAGAATTTGCTGATAATTTTTATTAAGAATAGTTTAGAATTTTGTCAAGTTTTTTTAAAGTATTTATTGAAACATACTGTTTTTCATACTTCCTTATTCAGTATTAAACAACAGAATTTTTCTGTGAACTTCCATTGACTTGCTATGTTGTCCTTCTGGGGTCCTGTTGAATTCGACTTGATGCAATCGTGTTCTGGGTTTTGCACCTGTGTTCACAGAAGCTGCTGACAAGGCAGTTTGTTGATGCACCTTTTTCTGGTTCAGAATCAAGTCAACATCAGTCTTGTTCAAGTTGCAAAGTCTTCCCTTGTCTTTCATTTGCTGTAAAGTTGGTGATATTTCTTAATTGTATAGAATTCACCACTGAACCGTCTGGGCTTGGACTTTTCTTTGTGGGTCAATATTCAATTACAGTTTTAATGCTTTTAGTTGATAAGAGGCCGCTCCAGTTCCCCATTACTCTTTTACCTTCGGTAATCTGTGTTTTTCAGGAAAATTGTCAGTTTTCTTCAGCTTGTCAAATTTGTAGGCATCGAGTTCTTGATCCACTGCAATGCCGGCACCTGAAGCATGTGGAGTCACACTTCTTTCATTTTCAGTGTCGGTCATTTGTGTTTTTCTCACCTTTTCAAAGAACAAAAGCGATGCCCATGAGGGTGACAGGGACCAGGGAGCTGTCACACAGCAAGGAAACCCTGAATCTGAGTGAAAGAGGGAGGAAGAAAGGGTGCGGAAAGCGCCTGATTCTACTGTGCAGTGGAGGCATGCTTGCAAGGTGCGCGAGGCCAGCAGGCCATCTTGAGTCAAGGCCCAGCTGTCACGAAGGTCCCCATCTCCTCCAGTCACCAGGCTTCATCATTCGCCAGGGCAGCGGAGGTGGCCCTGGCTCTCTGTGGGTGACTGTAACAACCCTGCCAGCAGCCAGGAGGTGCAGGCTACAGAGACACGGAGGCCAGCGCGCTGGATGCGTGGGCTGTCACACACGGTCCACATCCCGTGTTCTCAGCGCCTTCCCTGACCACTGCAGCTTGACAAAGAGTGGCTTGGGGGGGTGAATTATTACTCTTAATTCTTTAGCAGTAAGCAATCTCTGACTTATGAGTGCCACTTGTCACAGAATGAACTGTCTTATATTTTAGTTTTATTTTTACATGACTATATCCAGATTATTTTCTTTCCTCTACTTCTTCTTCTTTTTTTTTTGTATTTTAGGGAGGGGTCTACAGAGTGTTCAGGGTCTCACTACTAGATCGGACTTATAGTGATCTGCCTGTCAACAGCCTCCCAAGTGCTGGAGTACAGGCACGTGCCACCACACCCAGTCTCAATTGCTGTCTCAGTGCACCCCGAGGTGGGGCCAACACGGCAGGCCCAGGGATCGAACCCTGGCCCCTGCACCTGCTTTCAGGCGCTTTAATCCGCTGAGCTATTTGGCAGCCCCAGATTATTTTCAAAGCTTTGCTTTTCCAAATTTCCAAAAACTGAAATTTGCAATTTTATTAGTTTACAGATAAGTAATTATCTAGGAGTGCTCAGTGAAGAGGGTAAAAGGATCATGGTAACTACTAGCAACTGTTAAACGTGAACAGCTTATGGCTATCAAGGGCATGACCCATGGAAATGTCATTGACGTCATTGTTCAAAGAAAAAGACGCCGAGAAGCTCTTGTGGGTGTGCCCAGTGTGAGGAGCACAGTGATGCCCAAGACTGAGCTACTCGTCCATGTTGTGTGTGATTTTTGAGACACACAAACAACAAACTCATAAGTGCATTCAACAGTATGTAAAAGAATAGGAATTGGAAACTTACCAAATGAGAATCCTCTGAACGTTCACTACCCTACACGATTTAGGAAAATAAACAACCCTTATAAAAAAAGTCAAACCTAGCATGAATGGTAGCAAAATTCAGAGCTTAGAAATCTGAAAATGATGGCCACATTTTTCCCTCCAGATAGAAAAACCAAACAGTCTTCCTGGAAGCTTCCCAGAGTCGCATCCCCTTCACACAGGCTTTCTCTCCACAGGAGCTGGTGCTACCTATGAAGCTTTAACAGAGTTAGACCCATTCAGTCCTCTCTTAATGCCTCATTACTCGGTGCTGGGAAAGCAAAGATGAGGAAGAGGACTTCCCACCTTCATAACTGTTCAACCATGTGAATGGCTGTCTATAAGGGCAATTTGCCACCAGTGTCCAAAGCATGCCTGAAATATATTTTTCCACTTTTAGCCACTCTTAACAGTGTATATGTCCTACTATCAACATATGTGGTGAAGACAAAGCAGAAAGATAACACCCCTGTTCAGCCTTTAAAACATAAATGCATAGTGGCTGTCAATGTGAAGTGTTCCTAAATATGATACGATGTCTTACACTAACCTTGAAAGAAGTCAAACTTTATATTTTGCACCCAAGGAACAGAAGCAAGTTAGTTATGCGCAGGTTGCTTTGGAAAGCTTCTATGGCATATACTGTATTGTTCTTTTTTTCTGTTTTAGGAAAGTCTTAAGAGACATCGATACTTGAATTCTGTGTTCCCTCATGAAAACGCCACTGCTTTTTATGGGATAAATCAGTTCTCTTACTTGTTTCCTGAAGAGTTTAAAGGTATGGCCTAAAAGTCTTACTATTTGTTGATTGCCTGATTTAAAATTCTTTGCTTACTTTTTTAGGAATTGTTTCACTGTACATCTGGCAAATCAAATAATAGTGGATGTGTTTTCAATGTTTATCTGCTACAGTGCACCAAAAATATATCATGTCCAGTATTGAGAAGAGTATACTTATGGCCCCTCTGTACTGGCTGCTGCTTAAGAACTGAACACTGTAGTTGTACACGTGCTCATAAAGAAAGAGCTGTAGGGAAAGCTGGTCTCAGCACTGCCACACTGTCATAGCAGGGTGGCTCTTAGGGACACTCACACCTTCATGGGTCATGAGGTGAGAAATGCTGTCAGCTGTGAGCTCATTTTTACTACTGACCTGATTCTACCAAAGAAGTCCTTTGGTATGTCAGTTTCATCTTTCTTGTAGGAATTTTCTTTGTGGCTTTCAGCAGAATGTGTTTCATGATATAGAAAAGCACAGAGGAAAATTTTGAACATCAGATTCATCAGAAAGTTTCTATTTTCGCTTAAGATCTTGATCCAGGAAGAAGCCCAAGAGCCCTCCTCACAATACACTGCTTTTTCTTCATTTCCTCTTTCTACTCAGCCATTTACTTAAGAAGTGAACCTTCCCGGTGCCCAAGATACTCCTCAGAAGGACAGACTCCTGTTCCCAACATATCTTTGCCATTAAGATTTGACTGGAGGGACAAGCATGTTGTGACATCAGTGAGAAACCAGCAGACGGTAAGTTTCCTGTCCTTAGTGTCTCCTGAGGAGAAAGGGAAGCACTTCTGAGGTCAGGCTTGACCAGACCTATAAAGAAATGCATCATTTTTTTCTAGGTAAAAGCACAACTCCATCATTCAAAAATGCAAGGAAGGAAGGATCCGTGAGTGAGAGGCAGATGTCATATGTTGCCTCTGGGCTCTGAAGAGAAATCTGCCGTGGTGTGTGCACCCATTACTGGTCCTTGTTGCCAGTGCACTCTCCGGGAGTGCCTCCCAGTCACGGTACTAAAGGTACCACACCTGGTGGCGGGCAGCAAGCTGCCCAGAAGGGGGCAGGTGCGTGGCTACTGACTACTTAAGTAATTCAGGAGGAAATTTAGCACTAGGAGTAAGGGGGGCTGGGTATGTTCACCCAGCGGCATAGCCGGATCTCCTGGTTCTCAGCTTCATCCTGTGAGCGCTGTCAGAGATCCAAGCACCTGCTCACTTCCTGTGGCATCGTTCATTTCCTGTCCAATTTGTGTCCTCAGAGCACAATCAGTTCAGATATAAAATGGCACATGCATTGCTAAAAACATGATCTGTGCAAAATTCTGCCCTGCAGTGATGGAGTTATGGTAGAAATCAGGTTGGACAGCAGCGCTAACAACGTAGTGATACATCTAAAGAGCCAAGGGGAAGCTAACAATCATGAGAGTACGACTTACAGATGTGACTAATACGCAAGTGCTGCAGTGGCAAAAACGTGGCTTGGAAAGGGCTCAGTGTGTGCTTGCAGGAATGAGGGAGAGAGGTCTGCAGCCTGCGTGCTATTGTGATTGGTGGGGGGAATAAGCTCTTCCCTGATTGGTGGAGGGAATAAGCGCTTCCCTGATTGGTGGAGGGAATAAGCGCTTCCCTGATTGGTGGGGGGAGTAGGCTCTTCCCTGATTTTTGGGGGAGAAGCTCTTCCCTGATTGGGGGGGGGGAGCGCCCTGGGAGGTAAGAAGGAAGAGGACAGTGCCAGATGTGACGCGCACAGTGCCCCAGCTCGCTCCTGGGCGCGGGAGGCGTGTATGTGCTTCATGGTGGGCCCTACCCATTTGCTCCCCGCTGTACACAGTACAGAGGTCAGCGTGGTTCTCTCCGCTCACTCCAGGTTGTCCACAGCGACAGCACAGCAGGTCATCCAGCCCTTCGTGGGTGCAAAGTGTTCTGCAACTGTCGGCTGCTCAGTCTTCCTCCAGTTAGAATGATTGCTGGTGTTCCTATTTGGTGTTCACTGTTGTGCACTAAATTTTAACATCAAATCTTTTGCTGTATGCCTGGAGTCACAGGAAGCTGTGAATGAGCCGCCCAGCCAGTTCTTCTGAGAAGTTTCTGTGTTGAATTAAAGAAAATCATCAGGAAAAGAATATATTTAGGAGACATTTTGGGGCTTTTTCAGATGTAAAGACTGTCTCTTGTGGCTTGACTAAGGGTATATCTCAGAGTCCAGTATTCTTAATTTTATTCTCTTTTCTCCACCTTTAATATGAGTATCAGCCCTTTGGTTTTCTTGTTATCACTTTGTTAACTAAAAGTAAATAAATAGATCCACAGCAAGCATGAATGGGGCCACTACTTGAGGAATGGCTGATACCACTTTATCTGATATCGCTTTCAAAGTCACCATGAGTACGTGTGCGACACTTACCTGACTGTGTCTGATAACATGACAGTTCACGCGGATGATTCTGTTTGTGACCGATAACGAGCACAACACGCATCATCATCACCACCACCCTCTTGCTGAGAGGTAGGACTGCAGAATCAGAGAGCGGGAGAGGAGAAAGACGGAGGGTAGGGTGGTGGAGACTCCAAGCTCGGAGTCTCTAGGAAAGGAGCGGCTGGTGACACCAGGGCAAAATTACAAAATAATAAACTTATAGACATGTTATAGCAAAAGTTAGAAATCCCTTAACATCCCGTGACTATGCTCCTGCAGCCTGTCATGGAGTGAGGCTGCTGGACCCAGTTAGCCTTGGCTGTTTGCATCTGCTGCTTCCTCCACAGCGCCACCCAGGTTGGCGTGAGCACTTCCGGCTGCAGCACCTATTTTTCAACTTAAAATATGGACATGTGTAGCTTGCTTGTACTTTCAGCTTGCTGCAGATACTCTGTACTTCGTGCGCAGAACACTGGCGCACTCCCACTCGCTTCCAGCGCCCCTCCCGCCGAGAATGTTCCTGTTCAATAATAATTCCTTTTAAGCAAACCCATTTAAAACAACGCCACCTGACAAAATGGTATAATTCTTGTAATCCATGTAACCAGTCGTGCAACAACCTGCTAAAAGCTTTGTACTTCCCACCTGCTAACTGTATTAAAGCTAAACTCAAACCTGACTCAGGCCTGATGATTGGGAACTGGTTCCCATCAACCCGCTGGTGTACCAGAAGCTGCCTTCTGCTTACTCCGTGTGAATAGTCTTCCATTTGATTTGGTATTGTTTTCTTCTGCAACATCTCCACAAGTTAGCGGCTCACTGAGCACAGACCCTTACAGACCAGGAGTTATTCCAAGTGCTTTCCAAATCTCTGACAATCAACTGCATTGATAATAGGTAACATACAGTAGCAGTATTACTAATTTATCTTTAGGTAACACCTAGACCTGGATGTTCAGAAGAGAATTGTTTTCTTTCTGTTTTGGACTTGAAAAGCTAGAGGAGAGACATGTGTGTTTTATAGGTTTCCAGACTCTGGAGCTTCTGTTGAATTTCCTAACTTCTTGTACAGAGAGATGCCGCTTGGTAATCAATGCCTGGCCTGCTCTGCTCTGCAGTGTGGAGGATGCTGGGCGTTCAGCGTGGTGGGCGCAGTGGAGTCTGTGCGGGCCATTCGGGGGGCACCTTTGGAAGACCTCAGTGCCCAGCAGGTCATCGACTGCTCCTACAGCAACTTCGGGTGCAGTGGAGGCTCGCCCCTCAGTGCTTTGATCTGGCTGAACAAGGTACCTGCGTCGCAGCCTTCGGAAGCACGATCTCCCTTTTCCTAGAGCACTATGAACAAAATTCCAGTTACTGCGCAGACTAAATGGTGTTTCCAGACTCAGCTTTACTAAGATTTAATAATCAATTGCTTCCAGTCAAATTAACTATGAAGCTATCAAAGGGTAACAAAAGTTATTTGAGATCTGATTTCAGAAAGGTCTCTTAGTTGTTTAACATTCATTGAACAGTAATTCGCTTGGCAGACACAGATCACATAATGTCACACAAAAATGAGAGCCTCTTGCTACCCATTTCCATAGAACTTCTGAGTTTTAAGGTGAAAATGTGTCTTAGAGATCATGTAACCCGTGACTTTTCCTAGATGAAAAAGTAAGAGCTGAGAGCGCTAGCTGCCCCATGCCAGGGCCTTGCTCAGCACCCACAAGTGCTCACGGTTCCCTCTGCCATTTGTCTTCACCCATCCTCAGCTGTATGAAAGCATGCAACCGAGGGCACTGCCAGGGTTTTGCAAAAACTCACCAAGCCCCAGTTCCCTGCATCGTCCTTTGTATACTCGCTGTATTCTGAATCAGAAGCTGCTCTGTACACGACGAACCATAGTGAGCCATGTGTCATCCCCCTTCTAATAAGCCCGGTATCCCAGAGGGAAAGGTTCTGTGCACATTACTGCCAAAGTCATGACACACCCTGGATGCGTGTCGTCGGGGAGGGGTAGCAAGGCGACCCGGCCCGCCTCACCGGAGGCTGAACCCCTGCGCCGGTCTCAGAACCGGCTCCCTCCGGGGCACACTCCACAGGAGGAAGGGTCCCCAGCAGAGCTCAAGGGATGGGAGCTGGGGGACGGGAGTCAGAGAAGTAGGAGCAAGCCTGAGAGAAATTACCCCTCCTAGTAGTCTGCAGCCAACAGCTGCGGGCGTGACTGCCCACCCTGCGAGGCAGAGCCCGCGCCCGTGCTGATGTGGGGAAGCTGAGCCGAGGGCGACATTCCGAAGTAAATCCGGCCAGATTCTTACAACGGACACACACTTCGAGTGTATTTATTTATTTATTTTTTTAGACGCAAGAAAAGCTGGTGAGAGACTCGGAGTACCCGTTCACCGCACAGAACGGCCTGTGCCGTTACTTTTCCAGGGCACAGCCCGGAGTTTCAATTCAAGGCTATGTTGCCTATGACTTCAGGTAAGTGTCTCCTCCGTTGGTGTTCTTAATTTATGGTCTACTGACTGTGCGCAATGAATAATTAAGTGGAAGCCTTCCTCATAACCTCTGCTTTAACGCATTTTTTAGTTTTCGTTAGTCCATGTTTGTAGTGCATAATGTTTACATTCCTTGCCTGGAATCACGGAGTGCAAAGAA